ATATATACAGATGTGCTCAAATGAGAATGAGTGTCAATGAAAGAAATAAGAATAAATGTAAGCCACTAGATCTAATAAATTAATGATCATGATGGAGTCAAAGTTAATAACTAAAGTCAAATTCATTAAGGGTAATGTAGTCATTTGACACTCAGTAAGGGTGTTTTTGTCCTTAACAATAAATCCTAACTACTAGGCCCCACCACAATTCCCAGTGCTAAATCTTGCTCTCTCAGTTTCATGCACAAAAAAACACACACTAACTCACTCCACACGCAGACACACACTACATCGGTCAACACCGGTCAGATCCACAGGTCCAGTCGCCGACAACCGACAGAATCACCGCTGCAACAGTCTCCTGTCACCAGCCGCTACCGACTATCGGACTTCCGGCGAAGAAGGCTTCCAGCACGACAGAGTATATATATTCGTCTCGGCGCTGATTGTGGGTCGTCGGGGGATTATTTTTTGGCGGCATAGGCGGAGGAAGACGACACGGCGGAGATCTTTGGTGTAGTTGCAGCGACCGGGCGTCAATGTAGCATCGAGAGACTTCAAGCGTCCCGTCTCAGACGCCATTGGTGACGTGGGGGGAAAGATGCCGCGGACAGAGGGCGGATGACAGCGGACAGACGACGACGGGCGGAGGAGGCGGGCAGAGGGCGTTTCAGGGACATATGGCTTTTTTTTTGTGTTTTTCCAACGCAGGGACATATGGCTGAGTGATGGAATTTGTGTTTTTTGTGTTTAGGGACTTATTATTGAGAATTAAATAAGTTATAGGGACTATGATGTAATTTTTATTATTTAAAATTGTTTTATATTTTAATATGTGTGGCAATTTTGTAATTTATAAAAAATTTAACATGTGCACATTAACGATACAATCAATGCACAATAGTATAGGTTAAAATGCACATTAAAATTCAAATTGTAATTTTATTATACTATCAAATTTGCACAGCTTACCGTTCGGTCGATTTTGGTTGTTTCGTTGTTTAAAATAATAATGTCGACATAGAATCCAAATATTCAACCTTTTAAAAGTAAAAAATAGATAATTTTATATCGAAATATAAAAAATTCGAACAAAAAATCTTAGTTCCGTCGTTCTTGGTCATTAGTATGCAATCTGAAAGACATTAATGTGCAACTTGTCCAACATGAGCGTGCACGGTCTCGATCGCTTTTGTGCATCTTAATCTGACCAGACTTTTTCTCAACGTAAACTAAAATTAGTATGAATTATATGGTGTATTATACTCGTAACCGTATAACACTAAATAAACAAACTAATTTATTATTTTTATTATTATTACTATTATTATATTTAGTATTTTATTAAGTTAACTTAATAATTTTATATTTTCCTTTGGTTGAAAAAACATAATATATGAAATCATGAGTTTTTATGTTGTGCATTTTCGCACACAATAATGTGCATTTAGTATAACATTATTATGTGTGTATTTTTTTTAATGCGTTACATTGTTAGAAAAAATTAATAACGTGTATTTCAATTAATATGATTGTGCACTTATCAAATTATTTATATAATAAAATATATTTAGTATTTATAACTATTATTCTAATATTCTATATTATTTTTTACTCGAAATAATTAGTACACATATAAGCTGATCTATTATGTTATTTTAGTTTTTTTTTTATTTTTAATT